AGCGCGTTTGATGTTGAATACGAGAATCGCAAATACGCACACTCGACATCCGTACGAGCGTGTGTTATTAGTCATTCCTCTGGGATGTCCATCGTCGAAACGTGTAGTTCCTTTCGTTTCGAGGACGATTCCCGGAGATGATAGCTGCACGGAGTAACTTGCCGCGCGGGCGGCAGGTTCATTATCACCGCTGGTTTCTCTCTCTCGGACTATTTGCGCATATCGCGTTGCACGTTGATACGCGCGGTATGCAAGGCCGTAACTGGATCACGACGAAAATTTAACTACTCGGCATTATATTTTAGAGATATCTGTTGCGGGATCGCTCGCGCGATGTACAGCCTTTCCCGACCCCTTTTTCTCTTCTTCAGAACCACACTTTTCCGCGGAATGCGCATATTTCTTCTCTAAAGGAAGGATTATTATATATCGTTAATGGACTTACAGACATCGCGGAATGCATCTGACTGCATAGTAATATCCACGAGGACATTAACAGTCCGCTTACGAAGCACTTGTCAAATCCGATGACGCAATTGAACGTGATGGAAGGAATATTCATGCGTCGTTCATTGTGTTGACATTTGATTATCCAGAATGGAGGTGACGTTGACGTTAGATTACGTAGAATGGAATCAAAGCCTAGCGGTAAATTTCAGAAGTTCACAAACGAGAGCGCGTTGCATGCATTTTACATGGGAGAAGAAATGCTCTTCCCCCCCCCCCGCGTAAGGATTTATAATTGGAGAGCTCCAAAATTTTACATAATGTGAAGCTGTGCGAATGTACTTTACGTGAGATGGAAAAATTATATGGAAATTGAGAGTCTATATTTTCTTAATGCCCACATTTAAAAATATCGCATTTAAAATAAAATATCGCATAATTAACCTTTACATTTGCATCAAATCATCGAGATACATTTTTATTTTTTATTTGTGATATTTATATTACATTCTCTGCTGCGCAAAAATAAAGATTTGTTTGACACATTTTAAAAACCGATAAATCTTATCGATATTGATGAAATACAAAATAGCGATCTGTCAAAATTTTTTTGCCAAGCTGACGCACAGCGGTGTATGATGGCTTGAATGGAGCAATTCTAAATGGACACATTTACCAACACAATGCGGGCCACATCCAATATTCTAGTGACTATTACCATGACATTCCACAGAGACGATAACTTCCAAGATGCAGTTGCTTTACGCGAAACGCAACGCGACGGTCTCTCATATCCCGAAGGAAATCTTGCAGTTAGTAGCAAGAAACTGAAATCACCACCCGTTGTACTGTAAAAACTAAACCAATTGCATTCGTAA